ACTGAGATCAGACTAACTCAACCTTTTTTACTTTTCATGTAAATTAGAATTTTTTCTTGAAAATTTGTCATTTTGAAAAGATTGATTTGAATTTGTCATTTGCTTTCTTAAAATTAGAATGGAGGATGCCGGCTAAATATCAACAAGACTTAACCCAACAGTTAAAATACCTGTTACACACTAATACCAGTAACGAAAATAGCATATTATTCACTAAAAAAAAGTGAACTTTTATAGAAGAGCCTTATTCAATAACCCCAAAAATATTTTTTCAAAAATTTTCACTGTGTAAAAACAGGTGTCGGTTAGTTCTTTAAGTTCCATAAAATTTTCAATTAAACGGTCTTAAACTTAACTGAAAACATACTACGATGTCTAAAATCATACAAATTTTTTTAATAATTTTTTTTACACTACAAACTAAAAAAAACTACAGATTTTTTATTCGATTTTTCTTTTTTTTTGAAAGTATGACATTTTAAAAATAAATAATTTACTTCAAAAACGACGAAATATTATTAAAAGTGTCTAAGCATAACTTTCAAAGGTAATATAAGTGATTTTACTTTAGTTTTTATTATACTATGAGGTTATTATACTATGAGGTTATTATACTATTATTTCATCCAAAATCGAAAAAGTCAATTTTTCCCACCATCACTATATAAATAAAAAGAGAGAGATAGAGGAGGTGTAAAACTTAAATTAAAAGGATCATTTAACCATTTACAGCAAAGTAAATCAAACAAAAGCATAAATAAAATCTAGGGGAAAAAACAAATATTCGATTGATTGATGGGGGGGCATATGTAAATGTCCTCCCTTCAAAACAATTGTTCTTTTTTCCCACCATTTCAAGTCATTATCCTGAAATAAACTCTCTAGTGACCGAAAATGACCTCCCTCTTACATGTTTTCTTCAACCATGAGTAAGGTGACCTTTTCGGGAAAATAAGGTGTTGTTTTAATAAATTCTATAAACTTATTTTTGTTAAAATTAAGTTAGCTATAAGCAATTGGCAACTTTAATTTCCTCAGGTAAAAATCAAATATTAAACATTTTTACATAACAAAGTTCAAATCATTTCACTTCGCAAAAAAAAAAAAAATTACACTGCTAGTATATAATTTTATTTTATTTTATAAGCATTGTTGAACAACCGACCGAATTTTGAGTTTACGATTACCAATGTTCAACTTCGCAACCTTGTAATTTTGAACCCATTACGGAAGACAAGGGAACTCCTGGTTCAAGTATTGGGGGGAATTCTTGCTTTCGTAGAGGAATTTTTGATGGAACTAACCTGTATTTGCGTTACACGGAGAAAAAAGAGAAATCACGAAACCCTCCCATGGTCCCTCTTAACCTATGATCCGTCTACGACTGAGGATATTTTGTTAGCACTGTGGTCGGTGCGAACCGGGTGCGGAGTTCGTATCTACCAGCCATTCCAGGGATTCGAACCCGGGTTGGCTGCGAGCGCTCTGTCCCCTGAGCCACCACGGCTACAAGTAGGCTATGTTTATTAATATGTAAAGAGTTTTAAATTAACATAAAGAAATCAAAGTTTCATCAACTTCGCAAATGAGCTTTTCCTCTTTCCCGCAGACGGGGAAAAAATATAGGAAAGCTAAGTTGAAACTACGATTAACTCTTTTTTCATTTGAATTTTACTATGTTAGCTAACCATTTATTTTTTAACCATTTCTGTTAAAATAATAGATAATCTGCTAAAATATAATTTGATTACTCAAACTTCATAAAAAATAAAAATAATTCGTTAAGAAAAATATGTATGTTTATATAAATGCACACTTAAAATCATCAGCAAATATTTTATCTGCAATTTTTGCAAAATTTTTAATCACAAAAAAATAGACCTAAATATTTGCATTCATTTTTCCACTGATCAATGAAAAACACTGTTACAATTTTCTGAGCGTGTTGGACCCATATGGTTCAAATTAGCTGCTACATTTAATATGGTACTAGTTGATTCATATTATCTTCTTTCGAAGATTTGATTACACGATAGGGTTCAATTTAATACCTTAAATAAGGTTTCAGAAAATTTGAACCCAAGCTATAGTTCCAAGTACAACTACCAAGACTCAAAGTTGAACGGTTTTTTCTAAGGGTGTAAGGATGCGTCAGCTAGTTGCGGAAAAGTAAAGTGGTAGGAATTAGAAAGTCACATTCGTCTGAAAAGAAAGACATAAAAGATTTCTACAATTTGTAGGTCAGTAACTTTGGTCTTTTTTACTAAAGAAAAAATCTATAGTATTTAAAAAATATTAAAAATTTGTATTTTTTTAAAAGAATAAAAATTTATATTTACGAAACTTTTAATTAGAGATAGAGGAGTGTTTCGTTTTTTAAATTATGCCTGGGTCTCGATTTTCCAATCTAGCAACTTTTAATGATCCGTTCTTCTGTTTGCCGTTTTCTTAAATAAAATAAAAAACTTGATTCTTGTCCTTGTTTTTAAACTCAGGTAAAATAAAACCTTGCATTATAGCAGCAACCAACTATAGCCAAAAAGAAAATCTAAAAAAAAAAAAAAANCTCCATCTCAAAAAAAAAAAAAAAAAAAAAAAAAAAAGAGAGAGAGATAGAGAGAGAGAGAAGAGAGAGTCGTTAAAGGCCGCTGGATTGCAAATTTGCGCCTGGGTCTTTTGGAGTTACGAGCATCTACACAATTATCCCTATTGCCCCCGCTTTTTCTAATGACCCGAAAAAATTTATTAAAAAACAGCCTTTACTATATGTACTTAATAGCCGACCGGCCTGTGCAGGGAACTGTCCTTGCATCAGAAAGGTTCTGGGTTCGAATCCCGGGCAAGGCATGGGCGTTTTTTCCTTCTCTGTACTATCTGTCTTCACTGTGGGAGCGACGTTGGCCCATCTAATATGGTGGCCCTGAAAGAGAGGCCAACAAAATCGCCTTGTATATGCCTGAATTGACGGATGTTAACACAGGTGGGTATTGGAAGAAAAAAAATATGTAATTAATATCTTCTTCGGAAGATTACAAACAATATATAAAATTTCTTAAATATATGTCAGAGAATAATCTACCTCTATTTCCAGCGTTCTTTAATATTGATGCACCCTATGTACTTCATTTTTAAATATAACAAAACAAAAAATTTACTTCTTACTTTATATAATAAGCGTAGTTTATTAGATTTTTCTTTTTTATTAGTTTAATCTAAAACATAAAATTTGAATACACCCGATGAACCGGCGAGTTTGACATGCCTAAAAACAGTAGCTTTTTTTCGAAATTAACTTCATTTGTTTGCAACATTATTTTATTAACACCTGTCAACGAAAAGCCTCCGTAAACAACAATAAAAACAACACTTCTATGATGCCCCGACATGATCATAAAATTTTTATTTTTGAAAATGTCACCTTTTCCCCCTCTTAACTGATTTATACATTTCTGCCTGAAGTAAAATCTGTGGAAGTGACAAATATTGCTGTGGGGTGAAAGAGAGCAGACGATAAAGAGGGGTGCGCCGAAAGATAGCAGGATGAGAGAATGGAGGTGAATGTCCGAACGATATTCACTCCCCCGCGTCTCGATTATAGGCTCTACTACCCCCAATTGAGATTCACGGAAGCGAAACCAAATGTGACCACGAGATAGCACACCGAAAATAGATGAAATGTCACATGTGTCTATAGTAGTACAATGCGGTGAATTCTTTCAGTGAATAATTTCGAATATTTCTTTCTTTAGTTCTATTCGTCAGAAAGTGCTTTGTGCCATTGTTGGAATTCTGGGAAAGAAAACAAATTTAAAAGAATAAAATTTATTGCTATTTTTAGGTAATTTTTTAAACATAGCAAAACGCTTAGCTTAATACGAGGCATTTTTTTATGTGGTAATTTAATTAAGTTGTAAACCATCTAAGAGAAAAGAAATCGAGTAATGTTCAGAGGTTATATCTACCTTTTGGCTAGATTTTTCAGCGTCTGGGGACAAATTCAGTTTTTGTGCCCCCTAGCATTATGGTGTGAAATTTATAGGGACTTTTTCGGGACAACTTTAAAATGATTATGTAAACCCCACCTCACTCGGCATTGGATTGTTAAAGTTTACACAGAATTTTTTNCATTCTGTAAATGAGTAGTAAACAATTTAGTAGGTGAAAAGACAGAAAGGAAATTAAGAAAATATCTAAAGATTCAGTTTAAATTTTAAGAGAGAACGTTTCTAATGTTCTAAGCGTTAATTAAAAAGGCATTTTTCACTCAATTTTTGCCAATTTATTAAAAATACTTTTAAAAAAAAACTAAAAGAAATAAACTTCGAGGTGAAGCAAACTACAGTGATAGTAACAGGCATCCTGTTCAATTTATCAGTAAATCGGATAAAAATTGAAAAAGTTATGATGCCCTTAATTTGCAAATAAAATTGGTGATATTTAAAAAAGAAAAAAACTATTTATTTTAAATTATTCTTTATAAATTTGGTGACCCTTTAAGGCTACGCCCGGGGGCCTCTATTGCCTCCCTCCACAATTATATTCGCGTTATTTTAATCTATGATCACAATATTTGCAAATTAAGAATCGCGGTGACTCAGGAGATAGAGCGTTCGATTCGCAATGAGGCGACCCAGGTTCAAATCCTGGTGGCTGGATGACACGTACTGTGCTTCCGGCTCGCACTGATAACAGTGCTGCTAAAATATCCTCGTGATAGGTAGATCCTTTAGTCGTTGGGCTAACCGAAGGAGATTTTCGTGGTTTTTTTCTCATTGTAATGCGAATGAGGGTTAGTTCCATCAAGAAGTCCTCTACAAAGGCTAGTTTGTCTCAATGTTTGATCCAGGAATTCCCTTGTATTCTGCGTTGAGCTCAAAATCGATGCGAGCTACATAGTTGAACATCTACAGTCGTAAACTTGGAACTGGGGCTGCTGTTCAACATCAGTTATAAAATAAAATAAAAAAACAAGCAAATTAAAAGAATTTAAAATTACTCACCGATTAGTTAAAAAACCAAAGGCAGGTAGGTATTATATGTTCAGCTTCTTCTCCAAAAATTAACAAGAAACTTTCGATGTATTTCTTCAGAAAAAATGCATCTAAAATCAAAAGAAAAGTTATTTAATAGCTGAAAATAATGTAAAAAATGCAGGTTTAAAAAAGTATTTTCAAAACTAACTTAATTAACAAGATATTTGCAAGTATAACAACGCAAAAAAGTTTTATTTTCAGATATCATAAGCAATAGATAAAATGTTTATTCTTAAGTAATTTATTCTTCGGAGATACATAACTTTTTCAATTAAACTATTGAATTTATTAAAGCCCTGCCTGCCCGGTAAACTGTAACTTGTTTTATTAGCATTGCTGTTTCATCAAAAGTTTTGTTGAAACACAACCGCTTAAACAAAAAGTTTATTTAGCAGAAAAACAGCTCTAAATGTTACGACTCTTATTTTTAAAGCAATAAAACAAATTAAATAATAATAAAATGAAAAATAAGCGTGTATAAAGCACAAATAAAAGTACAGAAATGGACATACTATAGTTTATGTACTCTAAACAACAACCTTCCTCAGTGTCTAAACACCAAATGATAAGAGGTAAGTTAAGAGTAAAACGCATGCGCAAACGGTTTGACTACCAAAATGGTCGGTGGGATACTAGAAAGATCATTAACTAGTTAATGTTACATATATCTGCCTTCGGGATTCGAACCTCTGTCATTATTCCATTGCGAGTTAAACGCTCTATCCCCTGAGCCATCGCGGCCCTAATTTACAAGTTGCAAATTTAGTTATCACAAATGATCTCATGTTATTATCTAGTTAATGCTAATATGTAGTTAATTATCTTTTTAGTATCTCACCATTTTCCAATATTTGAAAGTCTATTCAAATTTAATCTTTTTCACCATGGTTCCCACCAAACCAGTCCCAATTATTTGTTTTTACTATCTTCAAACTTGTTCCACTGTCCCTATCAGCAAGGGTCTATCCAAAGTAAATTTACTACCGTTTAACAGTACCTTCTCAAATTCAACTTAGGAAAAACGGTAGTTTCACAAAATACTTTTAAAAAAAACCGTTGGCGTTGCAATCTATGGAAAAGAGGAGCTTTTCTGCCAGCTGAAAAAGGTAGCACGTATTTGATCAGATAGTGCAATGGGGTAAACCTACTAACTGCTTGCTTACGCGATATCAAGGCAAACTTTTTTCTTAGCTGAATTTTTTTTAAATGAAACAACGAGGCTCTCCCTGTGTAAACTATACTGGAAGTCGAAATTCGAACATTTATTCTAGACATTCGAACATTATCTTATCTTAAACACTATTGTAAATTTATTCTAACTAACCTTTATTTTTTATGAAAAATTTTTTTCACGGTGAAACTTTTCTCAATGACCTAGTCGAAAATATTCTCCCTATGAAAATAACTTTTAGTGTTTGTACTGTAAATGCATGTTTTTATTAAATTCAAGTTGAAATTTAACTATGGACAATGATTTTTAAATTTGGATACAATTCTAAGCCCAAAATTTTACAATAGCAAAATTATTTTTGAAAATATTTTCTTACTTTATCTTACTTTTGTGCTGATTTTTAATGTAATTTTTAATCTTCACAAATTAAGTCTAAATTTTCAAAAATTATGTACCTCTCAAAAAAATCTAGACAGACCCCTGTGGACAAACAACTTAGCACGTATTTCTTTTCTTCCTCTTTACTTTTCATCATTTAGTGTTTACTTTTTTTTAGTAGACAATGAAGATGGTTTCTTGTTTATTAAACTAAAACTATAGTATGTCCTTTTCTGTACTTTCGTTTGTGTATTATTTGTTTTTTGCTTTAGCTTACATAGTACCAAGTATACCTTATAATTTTTGGAACATTTATTTACTCTACAATTTATTTCTATTCATTGTGGGTATAAAACCAACAAAGTGGGTAAAACCTTGGTGATTAAATCACCAAAATATTCTATTATATATTCTATTATAAATTCTATTCTATAATATTCCATTATAAAATAGAATTTAAAATATTCTATTTTATAAGAATTTATTGCTTCAAACAGCTTTCACAAACAAACGTTAAACACATCCCATAATTACAAATAATTTATCATTTTTTTACAACTTCAGATATATATTTAACTATTTTTCAACAACTCCATTTAAGTATTTAACTATACTAGATATGTATTTAACTATTTTGTTATCCAATTCTATTTATTTAAACGGATGTTAGCAATATGTCTAGAGTAATAGGGATAAATTTTAGGCTAAATGATACCATACATTTTGAGAGAGATATCCCCCACATTAGTCCCTAACGATAATTCAACTTTTAATCGGAACTCGTAGAATTTAATTAGAGAATATTGTTCGTTTAATAATTTTGTATCTTTTTCCAAGAGTCGAGTAAATAATATTATTCTCTATTATAAAATCCGAAAATAATAATAATAAAAACTTTAAACTTTTTGATAACTTTTTTAAAACTAACTTACGGAAAAGGGTAATAAATTATAAATTTCATTTTTTGTTCTTGATTTGAATAAATTAAGCATGCTTTCAAAATATGCATGGAAAATAATCAAATACAATTTTTTTAGAAATGCTCCTTAACTTAATATATTAGAAATCACAATTTTTATTTTACGATAAACATCTCAGAGAATAGGATTGAAAAAAAAAGCCTCATTAAAAATAAAGAAAGAAAAAAGCACACGATTAGCATATCGTTCACAAAATAGGTAGTTTAAAATTTTATTCTTTCAAAATAATCTCATTTAAAACATCGCGTGTTTTCAATGATGAATAGCAGGTTCGTTATCTCGAGTTTTTCATTCCCAGTTAATAAGAATGAAAGAGCTTAATGGTAACGTTTTCAATTATTTCCAACTATTTCTTTTGATAAATGGTCTTACGGTGCTGTTCAGTTTTGTTTATTGTTCAAATGCGATATTAAGATAAATTGAGGGTCTTTCAAACTTCTTAAACGCGATTCTTTTAAGAATTCGTTTATTTATAAATTAATGATAGGGATTTAAATATTGCTGGAATGCAGATTTGATTCCTCGATGTAAAGAAGCATTTTTAAAAATGAAATACAACCAAATTTATTTTAAACAAATATTTTTCAATTTCCAATTTTTAACTAAATAGTTCTTTTTAATGAAAATTAATCAAAATATTAATCAAATTCTTTTTTATCAAAAACAGTATCTGCGACTTTAAATTTAATTTAAAATCATACATAATGCGTATTTTTACATTGTTTTACACCACAACGATATATAATAGTTCTATAAGACTATTTTAGGCTTTCTTGAACCATATTAAAGTTCAACATATCATTCTATTTGAACTATATGGTTCAACCATGTATATAATGCATTCCATATATATGCTTACCATATATATGAAATATTATTATGTATCAAAACGCTACAAAATTACACATTGTATATATAAAATGAAAAACAAATGTATTCATATGCGTAATTGTATACATAAAATGAAAAACAAATGTATTCATATGTGTAATTGTATACATAAAATGAATAACAAATGTATTTATTTTATGTATACAATTACACATATTGTCCTTTGCTAAATTATGTCTTGACAAACATATAACTTTTTTTATATTTTTACTTAACTATTTGCTTTAACATATTTTGTAGCTTATTTTTTTAAGTTAGTTCTTCTAAAAAAAATAATTTAAAAAAAAATTTTTTCTTGGAAAAAAAAGTGCCAGTTGTTATTTTTAATCACTTTATAAGTTTTATATTATTAATTTATTTCTTTATTAACATTAAACAGATAATAAAACAATGTTGACATAAATGATAAACCACAAAACATTATTATCCATGTAAAAAAAAAGTATTTTAGTTACAATGTTATAAAATGAAGCCTGACACTTATTAAAGTTCAGCGATTATTTTTTAATTTCAACTTCTAAAATACTTAATTCCCCAAAGAATATTTTTCAAAACAATGGGACCAAGAATCTAAATTGATCAAAATAAAATAATTTTAAGATATAGAGCACTATGTAATTAAACATTTCCTCCAATAAATAACTAAAATAAAACAAATACTGAAACATGAGGCATAGCATTTTACTATGATTCGAAAAAAAAGAACAATGGAAAACGAAGAAAATTAGTTTAACCTGCACTAAAATTAAGTGAATTCTAAAGAATATTACAATAGCAAATTTACAATATTTGCATGACACAGAACTTGAAGAGTTTGAGAAAAACAATACCTTTATCCAAGACAAAAGCAATAAAAAAGTGATTTGAAATCTGATGGTTTCACTTAAGCTTTTGTACAATGACCAAAATGATAGGGGGAAAAAAACAAAAAAAAAACTATTTCTGCGAACTGGAGAACATACTAAACAGTCTTTTTTTTGCATTGCATCAAGTATTATAGTAAAAAATGTAATTAATTCTTCAAATGAATTAAACATGAAATCAATTAGAAAAGTAATAGAATTCTGATAACTTGAGATTCTATAGTTCTGAGAGAAAAACTGAATTAATTAGCTTGATTACTAATCAGGCTCATTAGAAACAGACTCCTTACAAATAAAATATTTCATTTTGCACTGTCATGCGGTAAATTTTAGTAAATAAACCAATTATTATTTTTTTTTAGATCGAAGCAACATAAAAATATATTTGAAACACTCGAAATTATTTTTTAAAATTTGAAAACAAAATATATAGCAGGATATTTTGCGTTTCAGGTTTAATAAAAGTAAGTCTTTTTCCGGTATGGATCAAGAATTTTCAAGAACATATTTTCATTTGGACTTATATGATATCTTTATTTTCTAGTTTTTAATTTTATGCATTTTAGGGTCTTGTTCAAGGCACTGTTTTGAGCCGATTTAAATATGTTGCTCCTAAAATAGTTATATTATTTAATGATATATAGAAACAAGAAAATTGATTTTGAAAATAGTATTTGGGCCATCAACAGTAAAATTTGGTCCTTGCTTGGTATAGTGTATTGACTTCACAATAAAATATATCATTTATGCAATTTGTACAATTTACGGTTTTTTAACATCACTTA